GCATTCTCCAAAAATTTAGATTACAGTAAAGCATTACTGTGGAACATGTTACACCCAACTCTGAGTCTGACTGTAGTAAAGGGTGATTTTTTTTCTTTCTTTCTTTTCTTCAGTGGACACCAGCTTCTGTTTAGGATTTCCCTCAGAAGAATTTAATGTGAACGAATGTCAACACCTACAGTACTCTGATATAGTTAATCCAATTTGACACCTGGGTGTATTCTCAAAGCGTGGTTTGCCATTGAAGCTGTTAGGAGCTTATGAGCTGATAAGCGTCTAGATATATAGACCTGGTTTTGTAAACATAGGGGTATAGGTCTGTAAATCTGTGTGGATGTGTTCGTCAGTTTATTGGGCTGAATTTCTAAACCTGTAGGGATGATCTTGTAAATGAAGGGATAAGCGTGCAAGTGTCACAATCCCATTAGTTAAATTGGGAGCTTGGGCATGTACCGTGTACCAAGTTTTAGTTTAGTTTGCACCAATTTATTGTGTTTAAGGCTTCATGAAGGTAGCTCAGATCAGTTTAGCTGCATCAATACTATAGTGGTTAAAGTCAAGCTGGCAACACCCGGCAACAAGAGAGAAAGTGGATTTTGTAGACAGGATGTATGCATGGGAAGCAATGCGAGATGTAAACAGAAGTTCAGAAATGCTCTACTTTATGCAAATAAGAAGCAAATTCATAAGCAGTTACCAATGGGAGTAAAGCCAGATGATGAGACTTGATTTGTCTGCTGTCGTGGGGTGATGAATGCTTCATTTAGCTGCCGTTCCTGCACCAGCCGGTAGTAATTGCTGTGCTGACTCAAGCTTGAATTAAATTGTGAACCCATATGGGCATACGATTGTGGTTTATGTTCACCTTTCAATTCACCTTTATCTTTATAGCGCTTTTAACAATGTAGATTGTGTCAAAGCAGCTACACATAAAAGGTCATAGTAAATTGCAACAGTGTAGTTCAGTTTTTAGTGTTTAAGTACAGTTCAGTTTAGCTCAGTTCAGTGTGGTTTAAAGGGCCATGACACCCCCCACTTTCGGTTAAAGTCTACTTCAGAATTTTTTCAAAAGATGCATGATTAATGGGCGTGGAGCTCCGCGAGCATCGGGCAGGAATGGGCATGGCCAGCAGGGGAGAACGTGAGCGAACGAAGCTAGCTCACAAAATGAGACAAACCATGAGGAGACGCATGAGTTTATAGTTTACAAAGTTAAAATGCAAAGAAATGAACAGTGATTTAATGCCCTGCTACATTTGTTATTTGTAATTTCATATACACATAACCACAATTTATATCATTATAAAGATAAGTGTGTTCATGTAAACACTGTAAATGAGGACTTCTCCCTCAATCCCCGTATCCAGCAGACTCAGTGCAGCAGGTCTCCTGACCTGTCTATTTTAACTGTTAGCCCTACTGGTAATCTGGAGGATTTAGGCAAACACAGCAGCACGGCGATGTGTCTGAATGTGAACAAACTCCTGATAAAAGACAGCGTCCGCCATTCTCTAATTCGCGTGCTGCTCTCCCGACAAAAATGCTAGCAGCACACACACAGCTTTGCTGTATGATCGGCCCTGACAAGATCGCGGGGGAAAACATGCAACAAACCCTGTGGATCATGGAAACAAACGCATATGAGCCTTCATGAACGGCTAAATACTGTGTGCCCGTGACGTGTCTCACAGCTCGGGCTTGACTCTGGCAGGTCTCATGAATAATTAAGCATCCGGCTCTTCTCATAGGATAAGAAAACTCCGCTATGAATAATAATGAGAAACCGATGCGTCATCATTGCACTTGCAGTACTGCGCCATGTCGCCGATTTTGATCCCGCCCCAAAAATCATTTTAAACCTGGAAGCTAAAATTTGCTTAAAAAAGCTCAAAATTATCCAGTTTTCCCCACAATTAAAGCTGTCAGGTGCTAACATTGTCTTAACTTATGCTCCACACACACAAATCTGTTAATATAAAAAAAAGTTCTCCAGGGTGTCCTGAACCTTTAAAGATCACTACTGAGAGTCCAAACACTGAATAGCAAATTCATTGATGCGCAGCTCTACCAATCCCAAACCATGCAAGCTAGAGGCGACAGCGAAGAGAATAAAAAACAATTGGTGAGAGTGAAGAAAAAAAAAACCTTGAGAGAAACCAGACTCGGTTGGGCACGACCATTTTAATTTCTCCACTGGCCAAACGTCTTGTGCAGAGCTGCAGTCTCAGTGGCGGAGCCCGGAAGCTGGCCTCAGCGAAGACTCGTCTGTCCCTGGAGCGTCACAGAAATCAGTCTCATACTCTCCACTCCTCCATGACCACCACAACAGCTGCTCAGGATACGGCCTGGTCCAGGATATGGAAACCTTGGGATCATCTTGTCGCTGGTCTTGGATTGAATCAGTGACTTTGCATTGTCTAAGGGCCTCAGGATGAGTATCCCAAGGTGGAAATGGAGAATCAGGAGAATAATTAGCGTAGCTGCTGTTTATAGTGTATAAAAACAAGATGAAGAAACCTGTGTGGAAACCTGCAAAGTGATGCACTGAGTGTATGCTTTACTAAACAGATAGGTCTTTAATCTAGTTTTGAATTGGGAGAGTGTGTCTGAGCCTCGGACGTTATCAGGAAGGCTATTCCAGAGTTTAGGAGCCATAAATAAGAAGGCTCTACTTCCTTTACTCGACTTGGCTATTCTCGGTACTACCAGAAGACCTGAGTTTTGAGATCTTAATGAGCGAGTTGGATTGTAGCGAGACAGAAGGTTGGTTAGATAAACAGGAGCTAGATTATTTAAACCATTATATGTAAAAAGCAATATTTTAATTTCAATACGAAACTTAACAGACAGCCAGTGTAAGGCGAATAAAATGGGGGTGATATGATCATATTTTCTAGACCTGGTAAGAACTCTGGCAGCTGCATTTTGTACTAGCTGAAGTTTGTTAATAGAGGATGCTGGGCAGCCAGCAAATAGAGCATTACAGTAATCCAGCCTCGAAGTCATAAAAGCCATATAGTCCATAGCTTTTCTGCATCTTAGATGGATAGCATACTTCTTAACTTAGCGATATTTCTCAGATAAAAGAAAGCAGTTTTTGTGCCTTGGGATATGTGATTTTCAAAAGTTAAATTGCTGTCTAATATGACACCCAGATCTTTTTTGGTAGAGCTAACGCTAACTTTGTGTCCCTCCAATTGTAGGTCGACTTGTGGGATCTGCTGTGTACAGGATTTAGGTCCTAGAGTTTAAGAGAAGAAAATTATTGGTCATCCAGTCTTTAACATCTTTAATACACTCAGTTAGCTTAGACAGTTCAGACATCTCATCAGGTTTAGTCGAAATATATAATTGAGTATCGGCTGCGTAGCAGTGAAAGTTGTTCCCATGTCTTCTAATAATGTCTTCCTGAGGTAGCATGTAAATTGTAAACAGCAGAGGACCTAAAACTGATCCTTCAGGCACCCCATACTTTACTGTCCATTAATATTCACCAACTGGTAACGGTCAGTTAAGTATGACTTAAACCATTATAGAGCTTGTCCATGGACACCTGTAGACTTTAAGCTATTAATGAGGATATTGTGGTCAATGGTGTCAAATGCGGCACTAAGATCGAGTAAAACTAATAGCAAGATGCACCCTTGATCAGCAGCTAGCAGTAGATCATTGGTTATTTTCACTAATGCAGTTTCTGCACTGTGATGAGCTCTGAAACCTGACTGAAACACTTCAAAAACATTGTTTGTCTGCAGAAAGGAAGATAATTGGGCAGAAACTACTTTTTCTAGTATTTTAGACATAAATGGAAGATTTGAAATAGGCCTCTAGTTAGCTAAGTTGCTGGGGTCCAGTTGCGGTTTCTTAATAATAGGCTTAATAACAGCAAGCTTGTAAGAATTTGGAACATTGCCTAAAGATAAAGAAGAGTTGATCTCCTATAACATGTAGCAATTCATTTAGTAATTTTGTTGGAATTGAGTCCAACATACATGTAGCTGGTTTAGAGTGATTTATAATTTTATCTAGCTCTTCCTGTTCTATTATTTTGAAGCACTGTAGGTTATTATTATTATGATTCAGTGAAATATTTACAGGATTTGGAGTATAAGCCGGTGTAGAAAGTTTAACATATATTTTCTGTCTTAAGCCTTCTGTTTTATCACTGAAAAAATTCATGAAGTCATCACTACTAATTTGCAGCAGAACATTTTGTTCCAAAGATGACAGATTATTTATTAATTTATCAATGGTGTTAAATAAAAACCTAGGATTGTTATGATTATTTTCTATCAGTTTGTGGAGGTGCTCAGCCCCGGCAGATTTTAGAGCCCTCCTATAGCTGGACATACTGTCTTTGTATGCAATTCTAAAGACCTCTAAATCATTTTTTTTTCATTTACGTTCCAGGGCACGAGTTGCTGTTTTTAGAGCGCGAGTATGACTATTATACCATGGTGTAGTTTTATACTCTCTAGCCTTTTTTAATTTGACGTCTGCCACAGTATTTAGTGTGCTAGTAAAGATAGCATCCACACTGCTGGTTACTACTTCAAGTTAATTTGCGTTTGTGGGTGCATTATGATGTATAGACATGCATAGACTTGTAGCTGCAATGGCAAAATTTATGCATTGATTGCTTATTCATTGTTGACGTTAAGCATTTCATGTACCAATTCCCTTCAAATGTTTGTTTTTAGTGGCAAGAAAGCCAATTCATAAGGGTATATTCCGTACAGACATCTATTGTGTGCGTTCTTAGCAGTTATTTTGTGATGCATTTTGACTATTTCATCTATCCCTAACATAGGTGTAGACTTGTACGAATTTTTGTCAATGTATGGGAGGATGATACGGGAGTCTATTCTGAACAAGAACCGGTTCTTGGTTTCCAACCCTATATTTGCTGATATGCATGATTGTGTGTCTATCCGTATGTGTGGGTGTGCTTATTATCACATCAGAGAAGTGATCTAGTCTCTCTTTGTTCTCGCTCACAGCAGTGATGATATTCCTCCAGACGTGCTCCGGCAGAGAGAAGCTAAATGGCTGGATATGCTCAACAACTGGGACAAGTGGATGGCCAAGAAACACAAAAAGGTTAGTCTCTGGCAAGTGGCCCTGTGTTTGACCACAAGTTTTTCTTCTCGAATGGCTCAGGTCGTTCCCAGAATGGTGTAACATTCATAAAACACTCAACAACAGCAATCAAATCCACGTGATGTTATCTGAAGAATTTGACTAGCCATCTGACACTGTGTTCTTTCAAAGGCAAAACCTGTCTAATATAATCAGATAAAGTGAACAGGCCCATATGAAATTTCCACCCAGAGAATTCCTCATTGTGGTATTAATATCCACTATTGACACTATCATGCATTTAAAAACATTAAATGTTATAGTTTAAAAGTGTCTAAATTAGAATTTCAACTTGAAACGATTACTTAAACATGGATATACACCGACTGGCCACTTTATTAGGTACACCTGTTCGTCTGTTTGTTAACTCAAATGTCTAATCAGCCAATCACATGTCAGCAACTCAATGAATTTAGGCATATAGACATGGTCAAGACGATCTGCTGCAGTTCAAACTGAGCACCAGAATCAGGATGGTTGTTGGAGACAGACGGGCTGGTGTGAGTATTTCAGAAACTGCTGATCTACTGGGATTTTCATGCACAACCATCTCTAGGGTTTAGATAGAAGCGTCAGAAAAAGAGAAAATATCCAGTGACAGTTCTGCATGCGCAAATGCCTAGTTGATGCCAGAGGAGAATGGCCAGACTGGTTCCAGATGATAGAAAGACAACAGTAACTCAAATAACCACTCGTTACAACTGAGGTTTGCAGAAGAACATCTCTGATTGCACAGCACATCCAACCTTAAGGCAGATGACCTACAGCAGCAGACTGGTCTCAGACTGGTTTCTTGAACATGACAATGAGTTTACTCTACTCAAATGGCCTCCACAGTCACCAGATTTATATCCAGTAGAGCACCTTTGGGATGTGGTGTAATGGGAGATTCGCATCATGGTATTGCAGCCAACAAATCTGCAGCAACTACGTGATGCTATCAGGTCAACATGGACCAAAATCTCAGGAATATGTCCAGTACCTTGTTGAGTCTATGCCATGAAGGATTAAGCCAGTTCTGAAGGCAAAAGGGGTCAAACCCGGAACTAGTAAGCTGTACCTAATAAAGTGGCCGGTGAGTGTATAAAACGATATAAAGAATAATTTTCTCATGGCGCAAAATTGACTATGTTTAATATGCCAGACAAAACAGTGTGTTAATCATCTCACAGCAGGGTAATTCTGTTCAACAAGGCCTATAAATATAGACTGTAAATATTCCAGTCATGTGTTGGCATTCATTGAAGGTCATAAAGTCGATATCTCTGTTTCTCCAAAGGTGAAGTTGCGTTGCCAGAAGGGCATCCCTCCTTCGCTCAGAGGCCGCGCGTGGCTTTATCTGTCTGGAGGGAAAGTGAAGAAAGAGCAGAATCCAGGCAAATTTAAGGTGAGGGCATCTCTGAGGTTTGTACAAATGAATCTTTAAAGCATCATAGCTCTGTTACAAAACAACTGATTCAGACCAATTTTATATATGCATATATACACACTCTGGACCACAAAATAAATCTAATGTTGGGCGGGCAGTAATGCATATTGCCTAATGTTATTTTAGTATTATTCAGTAATATCTTGTTGTAGTTTTAATTGTCTTTTTTTTCTGTTTTGATTTTAATTTGAAAGTTTTAGTAATGTGTTTTTCGTCATTACTTTTGTTTCAGATTTCTGAATAGCTTTTGTTATTGTTGTGATAATTATTATGCTTTAATTTTAGCTTGTTTATAGTTTACATTAAAATAAAATGAGAAACTAGCTCAAATAAATTAATTGTATTTTTTATTATTGTGTTTGTTTGTATATCAATATATATATATATATACACACACACACACACACACACACACACACACACACACACACACATATAGTGTATATATATATCGTGTGTGTGTGTGTGTGTGTGTGTGTGTGTGTGTGTGTGTGTGTGTGTGTGTGTGTGTGTGTGTGTGTATATATATATATATATATGAAGTTAACATTTATTTGACGTAGTTTCATTTTACTTAACTATAATAAACCTGGTATACACCATTAAAAACAAAACACACATTTCTGTTTCAAATAAATGTTCTTCTTTTGAACTTTGTTCATTACTTTTGTATCATTTGCAGAGATGAAAATCCCACAATGCACTGTACACTAGAAGTCCCTCCAAGAGGAAAAAGCATGAGTAATATTCAAAAGTATTTAGACAAACATTTTAGTATACCTAAAGGTTGACACTAACCCATTTTGAGTTTGTTTGTATTTTCGTGCGTTCTTTAACCAACTTATATTTGCTAAAGCATTATTATTCAGTAAAATCATCAGATTTGACACTTATTTTAACTTTGCAGCATGTAAACTAGTGTTGAACCAAACTGAAACAACATTAAGCTGATCTTCTGTAGAACTGCTTTCAAACTTTAAATTAATTTTACAGTGTAAATGATGAATTTTCCTGTTTTATTCAACTGAAGCTGCTCTGAAACAGTACGTGGTGTATAAAGCACTATACAAATAAGTCCTGTCTATTTTTTATTTGGCAGGAGTTAGATAGTCAGCCTGGAGATCCTAAATGGCTGGACGTGATAGAGAAAGACCTTCACAGACAGTTTCCATTCCATGAAATGTTCGTCGCTCGAGGAGGCCACGGGTGAGTCTCCTGCAGACCTGCTTCTCTTTAAACCACAGCTTCTTAAAGACTCAATATAAAGGTCCAGATCTGAACTTTCATCAGTATCAAAGGTTTTAAATTAAAAAAGGGTTTTATTATAGGGCTATTACATTCATATGCATAGCAAATCTTTCACACACTCACTTTCCTTTGGCTTAGTCCCTGCTTTATCAGGGGGTGCAACAGTGGAATGAACCACCAATTACTACTGGCAGATGCCCTTTCTGCTCATAAGTCAACAGTTAAATAATTAATAAGGAAAAATCCCTTATGCGTTTAAAAATAAACCAATAAGAAGTGCGATCAGCGTTATTTTTTATTTTTTTATTTTTAATATGATTTAACAAGAGGTAGGTTTTGGCTTTTGAAATTTTCACACTTTTTAACTCCAACAGAGTGTCTTAAAGTATTAAAAGTTGATAAATCAATTGCCTCACAGCAAGAAGGTCGCTGGGTCACTGGTTCGAACCACGGCTCAGTTGGCGTTTCTGTGTGGAGTTTGCATGTTCTCCCTGCATTCGCGTGGGTTTCCTCCGGGTACTCCGGTTTCCCCCACAGTCCAAAGACATGTGGTACAGGTGAATTGGGTAGGCTAAATTTTCCGTAGTGTATGAGTGTGTGTGTGTGTGTATGTTTCCTAGAGATGGGTTGCGGCTGGAAGGGCATCCGCTGCGTAAAAATGTGCTGGATTAATAAAAGGACTAAATGCCTAAATAAATAAATAAGGGACTAAATGACTAAATAAAGGACTAGATGCCCCAGATTAATAAAGGGACAAAGCCGACAAGAAAATGAATGAATGAAATCAATTTAGAGAAAGGCCCTTCTGTAAAGGCCCTGAAAAATGTTCAAAATTCTTAAATGCTGTTTCAGAAGGTATTAAATTGTGTCCCCTTTTTGATTATACAAGGTATAGCCTAGTTTGCCTAAATTTAACTTGCAAATATTAGGATATTGTGTAGTTTATGAAATCAATAAAATCCTGTTAGATTTGACATTAGGATACACCCTATCCAAATGTCTCATCACATGTTCTCAATTGGAGCAAAAAGAACACATACCTCTCTGTTCAATTATCTTTGAAAACTCTTACTTTCTCCATCAAATTTTCTTTTTTGGCAACTGACAGCCACACCATCCAAAGGCGTCAACAGCGTCAAATCACCTACGGTTTAATTTCAGACCAACCGAAAAGACATACAGACAAATAAATAAAATAAATTAAAAAAATAGAATTATTTACATGTTTAATATGCATTTATCAAAGTTGGAAATCCACACTTTATATCCTTTACACATAGTTAGAGCTCTTAAAATTTGAACTGGAAGTGGGTCCGAATTGACATCTCTCCAGGGAGTCTGGAGTTTGCGAACGCTGATTATTGACTGTTAATGATTATTCATTATTATTAAGTATTGATTAACATGTCCTATTTAGATTCTGATTCTCAAGCTTTTGATTAGTTTTGATTCTTAAGGTCTTTGCACACTGAAGTCCGAAATATTCATATGCATTTTTTGTTTTGTAATTATAAGTGAAAAACTCATCATGTAAAAAAACCTTGCACACTAAGTCTGATGCATATTAATTATTTCATTATGAAAAAACGCAAAACATTTTACAATCAATTCAAACAGTGATACCGCTCTCTTTTCCAAAGAAGAAAGAGGAATAGGCTACATATTGTGTTTATCCAATACTGCATAAAGAGGGAGGAGAGCTCAGCTCATTATCAAAGAGCTGCTCTGGATTTTCTCGAAATGCAAAGTTTATTTCAGGAAATCAGGGGAATTTTGATTCATTGCTTATGATACTTCACACATCTCTGTACGTAAATATATCCTGAACATAGACTGGCAGTACTTATAGACATTATAATAGATGGCGACTGCGTTGACGTGTCAAAGTAGCGGACTGAAAGCAGACCATGCTTTCTATCGTAATGTCTACAGGCATTACGTCAACTGTATGAACACACACAAACACACACACACATAAACAGTAGCAAGGCAGAGGTGTGCCAGTCACAGGTTCTCATCTGTCCGCCAGAAGCTGTTTTTATGTTTTGCACTGTGTTTGTCATAAAATTATCTGTAGCTCAAATGGCAGCATTCTGTATTTAGCTTTTGGGTTGTACGGTGGCTCTGAACTGTCAAAATATCTCTCAAAGCACTTTTTAGGATGCAAAAAGTAGAAAAGAAATTGAACCTGTTTTGATTTTTTTCTATGATAGACGAAAGTTTCGGAGATAGTGTGTCAGTATGATTCACACAATGTGAGGTTGAATTCATTTTTAATGTGCCAAATTTACAGATGAAAATTTTTAATCCAATAACCTGCAATAACCTTCAATTTAGTGTATATTGATTCAATAAAGGTATCATGGATATTTCTAATTAAGTAGCCATAATATAAAGTACAGACATATAGATGGGCATGAATTATAAAGATAATAAAACTGTGAATCATACTGAGCCAAGAGCAGTGCATTTTGTTCTTTGATTGTTAACAGCAGAAACGGTGTATTAATAATCTGCAGTCTCTTTAAGACATTGCACAAGGATAATGTCTTTGCATTCCATTAAGCTGTAATTTCGATTTTACTGACTGTTTACATGAACACTCCTCAGCAAGATGGGAATTTCAACACAATGAAAAAATCTATGCAATCTATGAAACCACTTCAGTTTATAGGACAAAGGAAACATAGGGTAACACTTTCTTTTTGTAGTATCACCATTCATAGCCAGCAGCTAGCTCTCTGCAACTCTCACATGGTCGCCCACTGAAGCTAAGCAGGGCTGCGCCCGATCAGTACCTGGACCACATGGGAAAGCTAGGTTGCTGGCGGAAGTGGTGTTAGTGAGACCAACAAAGTGCACCCAATCTGTGGTTTGTGTGGGTTCTAACGCCTCAGTATAGTAAAGTAGACTCTACTGCTCAGTGAGCGCCGTCTTTCGGATGAGATGTTAAACCGAGGTCTTGACTCTGTGGTCGTTGAAAATACCAGGATGTCCTTCTAAAAAGAATTTGTCCTCTGTCCATCATGGCCTCCTAACCATCCCCTCTCCACCAATCAGCTGGTGTGTGGTGTGCAGTCTGGCGCAATATGGCTGTGCTCGCATCATCCAAGTGGATGCTGCACACTGGTGGTGGATGAGGAGATTCCCCCCAATGTGTAAAGTGCTTTGGGTGTCCAGAAAAGTGCTATATAAATGTAAGAAATTATTATTATTATTATTTTATTTTCTTATCGGCTTAGTCCCTTTATTAATCTGGGGTCACCACAGCAGAATGAACCGCCAACTTATCCAGCATATGTTTTTACACAGCGGATGCCCTTCCAGCTGCAACCCATCACTGGGAAACAACCATACACACTCATTCACACACATACACTTCCGACAATTTAGCTTACCCAATTCAACTCTACCGCATGTCTTTGGACTGGGGGAAACTGAAGCACCCAGAGGAAACCCACGAAAACACGCAAAGAACATGTAAACTTCACACAGAAATGCCAACTGACCCAGCCGAGGCTCGAACCAGCGACCTTCTTGCTTCGAGGCAACAGCACTGCTTACTGCGCCACTCCATCACCCTTTATTATTATTAATAATTAATTATAATTATTATTATTCTACTATTAAATCTTAAACCGTTCTTATGCACTTTTTACACACTGTTAATGAATGATGGCCCTGGAGTAAACAACAAAGAAAACTAGATTCATTGTTTTGTTTTGTTTTTTAAATAGAGTATAGAGAAAAAAAAACATTTCTTATATTTGTGCTTTTGCACTCATGTGTGTTTGTGTGCAGGCAGCAGGATCTGTTCCGGGTATTGAAGGCATACACACTGCACAGGCCAGAGGAAGGCTACTGTCAGGCTCAGGCTCCTATAGCTGCAGTGCTGCTCATGCACATGCCTGCTGAGGTAAGGACACTCTTCATTAGTCTCATCCTCTCTTGTCACTCATTGTAGAGGTGAATACCTCTCATAAAGTATTTATTGATTTTCACAGTCAGCTATTATACTGTTTTGCTTGTTACAACAAAACGTTCATGTATTTATTTAGAATGTATTTTGTAATTGTACATAATTAATTTATTATAAAGGTATTAATATGCATAGTTTCCGCTACATTCATTCTTCTATGGCGGGGCGCCACACCAAAATTCACCCGGCCACGGCTACATTACAGCTTCTCATTTAAAACATTCAGTCATTTTTTTAAACAGCGGTTTATAATCGTACCAAAACGTATCAAAGGATAAGTGAATTATAACTGCACAAACTATTCTGTAACCGCAGTAGTGCTGTGCGTCATTTGTTTAACCCTTTAAGGTGACATGCTGACTGATAGACTGTCTGACAGGATTGCGCGATGCATGAGGCTAGCAAACACGATGTTGCTTGCAGTTAATACAACGACTATAGAATACACAAGACATGTCACTCATATCTTTTTGAATGGGGAAAAGTGTAACTGTCACTATGCTGAATAAAGCCCCGCCTACTAGTACAGGAGCTAATCATCGATTGTTATAGACTGACGATACTCTGGGGGAGGGGCTTGGACCAGATGTGAGTTTCTGCAGATTTTGTGTGATTTGAACGAGATGGTTGTTTTTTCATTTTATTGATGATTCCTAATATGAAATTTAATTGTAATCTTGGCAAGCAGTTTTAGAGAATTTGATGTTTCCCTATTTAGACAAAATGCCCGCGCTTACTGCCTGAGTGGTGTTACAAAGTTGGCCACTAATTGAAATGACTTGCCTTAAAGAGACTTTGGTTATGATTAACACATTTTCCGTAATTATACTTTATAGATCTAGGCTCTGCATACAATGACTTTATCCTGTTGGGGTTTATAGCCGTTTCAGTTTACTTTATGATGCATTTATACCACTCTGTAGGTCTATTGGAGACATTCATAAATATTTCTAGCAAATCTAATTAATGTTGAAGGCATACTTGTTACATAAACACACTAAATCACACTTCAGCAGCGTTTATTTGAGAGCACACAAGAAAATCTGTGATTGAACATCGTAAATTTGAGGTTGTGCTAGACGTTTTGTGCACAAACAGAGGAAACTGGCGCTGAAAGCAAAGAGATTTGCTCATTCGTATTACATAAATGTGATCTTGACTTGTAATACTGCACTCACAACTTTTTTTATTGAAATAACTCCATAGGTAGTTGGTAGGTCTGTGTAAAATGCCTGCTGCCACAGCTGGAAAAGATCCTAGAGGAAACACTGAATACGTTGTGGCTTATCAGTTAATCAGAGGTTTATAGATAATTAAAACTAAAAGTAAAATAATTATTTAAAATAAAATAAACATTAGCTAAAAACAACTTATTTAGTTTAATTTAAAATCAATTAGAATTAGTTATAAATGCAAATTAACTTTGTTTAATCTCAGGTATCTATTTTAATGTTTGATTTGTTATAATCTACCTCATAATTTATATTTTACATAAACTAAAGATAATCAATCTAATATTTTACCGTGTTTTTAATGGACACTTTACATTAACATAAACATTTTCTGTTCATTTACAGCTCAGGAACAATGTTTCATTTCATAAGACCTTAGTATATCATCAGTATTACAACAAGGAAAAATGCAGATGTCATGCAAATTCTTTTACTTTTTTACTTTAATTGCAGAATCTATCTATCTAAATTGAATTAAATATAAATTTAGGCTTTTTAACAATCCTAAAAAAAGGCTGCAAGTGAAGTGTCACCAATATCTCTTTACTTTAATATCTCTTTAGGTTTAAGTGGTCCTGCATAAGCTCGTACTCTGTCCTAGATTCTTATCCTCCTATGTTTATGCTCTGGCAGGATGCGTTCTGGGGTCTGGTCCAGATTTGTGAAAAGTATCTGCCTGGTTACTACAGTGCAGGCTTGGTAAGTACTGAGATCCTATTCATGAATGAATCCTCCTACTAATGAATTGGTTCAAATTGGAACAGTGTTAGCTGAAAGAAACAACTTGCTTATAGATAGTCATCCAGGCTCAAATATCCTAGAGTTTATTATCCCATGATGCTGTTTTTTGCAGACTCATTGATTCATTCAGCACTTGTCTGCATGTCAGCCTTCAGAAGAGTAATCAGTCAGCTTTATAAAGCACTCGATCAATAGCTTACATCGTGCTGATGCTTCATGCCGTTGTGGGGGGTGCATTTGATGTGTTTTCACTCGCATTCAGCAACACTCTGGTGAAATGTGCTGATGTAGAGAGAACAGGGTTCAAGGTTTGCTTCTCTTGTTCCCTTCACAGACTAACTCAGCACAACTTATTAACCAGACTCGCCCTCCTTTAATCTGCCGGTCTCAACAGAAATGCTCAATTTACACCACCATAGCAATTTCACTGTTATGTTATGACTGATATATTTCAGGATTTACTGTACACAACCCGCTCTGAAAATACACTTTCTAAAAACAAAACAAATCTTACTCTGGCCAACCATATCTGATGCCATACAGTTTAAACTGTAGCTGTTGTCAAGCCATTGTAAGTTTAAGAGTCAGGAGTGACATGCATAGATACAATTAAAACCCGAAGTTTACATACACTCTAAAAAAAGGAACATAACCATTTTTAAAAAAATGTCTGATGGTAAATCATACTAAACGTTTACTATTTAAGGTCCGATTGGATTACCTAAATCATTTACATTTGCTGAATGCCAGAATAATGAGAGCATTTTTTTATCTTTTTTTTTTTGAGAATTTTTAATTAATTTCTAGACAGTCAAAAGTTTACATAAATTTTACTTGGTATTTTTTCTTTGCTTTTAAACTGTATAACTTTGGTCAAATGTTTTGGGTATCTTTCCACAAGCTTCTTACAATAGTTTGAAGGAATTTTGGCACATTTCTCTTGAGAGAATTGGTGTAACTGAGTCAGATTTTTAGGCTGTCTTGTTCACACAAGCTTTTTCAACTCTGCCCACAAATTTTCTATAGGATTGATATCAGGGCTTTAAAGGGTCACGAAACACCAAAACACATTTTTTGAGCTGTTGACAGTCGTATATGTGTCCCACACTGCTAAAAACACTATTAGGACACCTATATTTCACAAAAAAGTGTAAATTGGTTGTTTTTGCGTTATTTCAAGCAAATTCATACTTCCGGTTTGAAACGAATTTTTGAAGCTGCGTCACGGCCATGACATAATAGCGTTGTATTCCAGCGTGCAGACTGGGCGTCTGTGCCAGAGTAAGTCTTATTACGTCTTACAGTGTGATGCATTAATGCATGAGTAAGGCTTGGTTCAAACCAATCAGCGCGCTCTATTGTGCAACTTCATTAATATTCTTTACTGTCACAATGTTTAGACGGCAGAGACGCCACATTGTATTGGCAAAACAAGCGTGAAGTGTTGCTTTTATAGTTTGCTGCCGTTAAGTTTTGTTTTCATTTTCTCTCTGTGAGAGCTCAGACTCACGTGTGGATTAACAGTGTATGCGACGCTCGACAACAATAACTTACGTGTCTAAGGAGGATTATTGTTTACCTGAGAGCTGTTCTCATCTGCAAACGCTGAGATCCGGATTCGCTTTAGTCTCCTCTTAATAAAGACGCGGCTCTAGTTGCTGGTGATTGTCCTGTCTCTACAGATTTGGTAAGTGAGCGACCAGTGCTCTTTGTTTATTCAGTTTGTTCGTATCTAACAAACTATTGCACCGAGTGTAAACATGTTAGCACCACAACCAAACTTTAACCTTGTGTAGGGTTTTTACCGCATTTAGTGACCGGAATAACACACGCGGCTTTCTGACGCTACCTGCCGTGTGCATCTACGTTTCCGGGAAATGCTGAGGTTTTTTTTTTCTCTCATTCGCCGTGCGGTATCAAACATTGCATGAAAAATACACGCTTAGAGCAGCTCCTTGAATCAAATATCTCGTTTGTCGCGAAGGGCATGAATGAATTCCCTGAATCAAAGAGCCAAACTGCAGTTAAAGTCCACCATTTAATAATTTGGCAAATAATTAGACTACAGATGTCCATGTAGGTTAAACACCATCACTTTCTCCTGTGTGTGTATTTTGACTCTGAAACTCACGCGTGCCCAAATAGACACTCCCACACCATCCCACTTTTCTTCCTCCGACACTCCCCCCTTAACAGAGCTGGACACGCCCACTTTTCTGACTTTTTCCAAAGTAGAGGTGTGAAAACACCCTGCTGAAACGAGGGGGTTTCATGGCCTTTTAAGATGGCCACTCCAAAACATTCACTGTGTTGTCCTTAAAGCACATTTTAACTAATTTGGCAGTTTGCTTAGGGTCATGGTCTGTTTGGAAGACTGGAGATTTGTGGCCAATTTTTAATTTCCTGGCTGATGTCTTCAGATGTTGCTTCAGCATTTCTACATAATGTTCTTTCTTCATGATGCGATCTATGATGTAAAGTGGACCAGTCCCTCCTGCAGCAAAACAGCCACCCCCATACTTCACAGTTGGGATGGTGTTCCTAGGCTTGTAAGCTTTCCCCTTTGTCCTCCAAATGTAACACTGGTCATTATGGCCAAACAGTTCAGTCTTAGTTCCATCACCACAGGACATGTCTCCAAAAATTATTCTTTTTTCCCGGTGTAATTTAGCAAATTGTAATCTGGCTTTTTTTTTGGGTTGATTCTGGCTTGTTGATTTGGTTGATTCTGGCTTGAGGTTTTCCTCTAATACTAATGTACAGTTGTGCCTCCAATTAACTGAAATGTTGTCATTTAGCCAATTACACTGATTTCCTTGACCGTCACAACAGTCAAAATTCGCTCCTTTTAACTTCTCCATCATCATTTGTTTTACCTTTGCAGGGATGGATTTTAATGTTGAGACAAACAATTTGATTACTTTCTCGCGCTAATCGAAATGCATCACGTCTATTCATTTACCTACTGCGCAAGCCAAGACCAGCCCGACCCCGTCTAAAATTATAGAAATCAAACCCGAACCTATCGGGTCCCATTGGGTTCGGGGGAAGATCTTCAGCTCTACCCTGTGCATGTGTCAATACTCCTGCCACATTTGTACAGTGCTCCCAGGACAAAAGTCATTCAACTGCACTAGTCAAGACTAAAGTCAGTCTGAAGATGCTGGACTTTTGGGCTGCATACGGGTGTAGTAACGAGCAAACAAAGCTTAAGTTTTGGAATGTTACAAACTCTTACAAACAAGTACTTAAAAAGTACTTGCGTTACTTACAAACAGTAAAAAAGTAATGTTATTGATGATAATAGACACTTACTGCACTGACTATTCTATGCTTATGCTAGTGTTGTTGAATAAAATCAGCAAACAATGTAAATGAAATATGACAAGTCATGACGCTGCACTGCAAGAAACTAGTATTATTGTCAGCTAAGTGAAGTAATGGCTGGTTTTTTAAGTAACTTATAAGAGTGCCTGATAACAGTGCCTATACCTCAGTGTGCATACTGTCCACCCTTAATTATTGAATGTTACAAATGTTATATACAATTTAGATCAGAAAGGTGGATATGCACATTGACGCAGGGATATTGATGGTTCACACGAGTGATTCATAACAGAGATTCATTCACAAACGAATCACTCCCTCGTTAGAATCAGAAGTGAAAACAGGAAAGGGGGTGTGTTTAAGAACACGGATTAGATCAAATTTAACAGGAAAGGAGGATAACTTTAATACATTTAGCCTATGCACACAAACACATGCTTTGTCAGCAGTCAAAGTGATGTAAAATTATAATGTTTGTTATTTAAAAAAATATTTGCATACTGATCACCGGGAAAACTCCCGATTGTAGATATGTGTTTACATATCTATAGCTCCAGATGCCCAGTCCTCCACTACACCTTGGTCTCACATTCTTTTTAAAGAAGCGCTACCCTTTACTAAAATGGCAGCTCTATTGATCCATTCTTTCCAATAGACAACAACATGGTAAGCGACATCCAATGTAAATATATATGAGTGACATGAAGCTTAAGATTTGACACTCAAAGCCAGTTATAAGATATTTAATTTAAAAGGTCAGTATGACATCACACTATGCATGATATTGGGAAAAAAATTGTTCACGAAACACCCACAAGTACGTCTTGAGAAAACAACATGGTTAGATGCTTTATCTTGTGTTGCAGTGTAACATTTATCACCTCGGATAAGTTTTATAATGTTGATCTTAAGTTTTATATAATGAAAAATAAGCATATGAAAGCCTGTAGGATGACCGTCTGCTTTGCATTGTAAAGCACAGCATTTTGTCCCGTGTATTACATATTGTGAAAATATCCCTAATCCGGTCTATTGCGGTCGGTCTACATACACTATGCATCAGAAACCAAACTTTCAGGACTATATCGAAACTTCAGCTCTTCCTCAGCACTTATAAATGCAGTGATAGGAAAAATAGCGACAGTTTTACTGTATCAATGCGATGTGGATTTGCTTTTGCAGCAACACAAACTAAACTCCTCCAGGCTTCAGATAAGCTACAGTGTTTAGGATCAAAGTAGATTATGTTCACAGGCTGGCGTTAAAGTAATATGCAACAAAGAGCGAGGAAGACAGAATTACTGTTCAGAATCATTCTTTCCTTTTTAAGGAGATTTATTATGCCCCTTTTTACAAGATGTAAATAAAGTCTGTCCAATACCTAGATTGTGTATATGAAATTTCAGCCCAAAATACCAAAACAAATATTATTTTACAGCACCCCATTTAGGCTCTGATCCTGATTGTACCATTTTGGTGACTGTCACTTTAAATTCAAATGAGATTGTGCTTTTCAAAAGAGGGCGGAGCTACATATGCCTTTGTGTCAGCAAAATGGCAGATTCCAAAAACAAGACTTGCATTCTATGCTAACGAGGGAGAGATTGTCAGGGTGTGGCTTCTCCCCTCTAATGACACATATAAAGGCAGAATGGCAATCAAAGGGTTTCTGCAGACTCTCCCTATCAAGTGTGGTTTATATAAAAAAATAAATTAATAAATTTTTAACTTTAAAAAACGTTATATTCACAGACTGTTGCCACACAACTGTATATAAACCCCTTATAAAAGTGATTTTTGCATATTAGGTCCTAATTGGTTGCATAACAGATCTTTTAAGCGAGAGAGACTGCGATTACCCTACATTTTACAAACTCAAACTTTGCAGACCATTTATGTTTACCGACAGTAACATTGCACACTTCATAAAGCTAATATTCAAAGAACAAATATAGAGTATTTAGCATAAAGTTTTATTTTTTCAATCCAGCATTATGTGAGTTCTTCTGTATCGGATCTTCAGAAGCTGACAGATAGATGCTTGTAAGTGGGCGACTGGGCCGTGGGCATTAGATAAAGACTGAATTAAATTAAACTATACACCATATCGTGCTTTCTCTCTATCGCTCTCGTTGTTGCCAGGGGTGTTTCCTTGTACCATTTCCGTTTTAAGCTTGTCAATCTTTGCATCTCAAGATTTGTTTAACACATCCATGTAAATACCTTGCATTCACAGGAGCATCAGATTGCTTATCAGTCAAAGTTCATTTAGCACAGATAATGTACACGCTGAGGATCTTTTTAAGCTGAAGAGTAGTCAAGGGGGACAAAGCTTTACAATTTTGAAATTTGCCCTACAATTATTTTTGTAAGAAAAAATTTTGGCGGCTTTGTAGTGTTTTTTTTTTTGTGTACTTAAAGAATACAAATGATTGTAAATTGTGTCAATTTGCACCTTTACGTAATTATTGCAATTTTTAAATTACAGAAAGAAAAAGAAAAATCTGAAACCAAATAAGCTAATAAAGACAATGGAAATGTTTGTTATTTATCATATATTAAAGTGAAAATTATATTTAATGTTTTTAATGTAAAATTGGAAGTGTTTTATTGACTTTTATGTAAGGGATAATGTACATCCAGGCGGTTGTTATGGAAGAATAAGGCCCGACAGGTTTATCAGCAGCCCAATATGATGCGTCCCAATTACTACATTCCACAAAACATAACAGGCACAAATTAAGAAACTAAAGAAAACATTGTTCTGAGACGTGATCATTATTTCTTCAAATAAATGCAAAGCTAGCAGAAACGAAAACAGCTGGATGGAGAATACACTATTCCACGTGCTATTCAGTCACAAGATGATGCCAAACAGTTTTAAACAGTGGAGTGACAGACCAGCATGTGGATGTGAATATCCATCCATCCGTGACAATCAAGATTATTCAAAGTGCCCAGATTAGCCTTTGTTATTCGTTTCAGCGATTGTTATCCTGGAATAATATACATGGCAATGTTGTGACTGACCAATCAGAATCAAGTATTCCAGACAGCTGTGTAATAATGATGTATGATGTGGTTATTATTATGTAATTTGTACCTTTCTATATTGATCTTGCCATTTTGAAATAGCTTCAAGTTGCTAATTTGGCAATGAATAAATAATGGCAATGACATGCATGTAACACATACATATGTAAATTTACATCTATATGCATTATTTCATAGTATTTAAGCTACTAAAGCAATTAGGAAAGGGATGCTTAAATTTATTAACACTCTCTATCACGCTCACACACATACTTACGTGCTTTCAAATAAATATTATTGAGTATAATTATATTCTTTCAAATAAATGTCATCTTAGTGCAATTGTTTGTGTTGTCTTTGATTTTAAAATGGGCTAGATCTAACACCATAGCCAAAATAACTAATAAAATAGCTAATTAACATGAACATGCTGGTGAATAACCAATACTGATGCTTCAAATCTGCATGAACCAAGGGTTTCCATTCCCTGGGGTTTTCATCAGTGCACCAAACACCCTTCAAAGCCAACAGAAAAAAGTGAAAAGTAAAAGTAAATTTTGGATACCCCTTTGAGCCTTCCAAAGGTTGAAACAATCATGGTTGTGAATAACCCCTGTTGGATCAAATAATTATGACAAGCCTTCTAGTAAAATAGATCCACATGTGTCTTTCTTGGTACAGGAGGCCATTCAGTTGGACGGTGAGATCCTGTTTGCTCTGCTGAAACGAGTGTCTCCTGTGGCCCATCGGCATCTGAAGAAATACAAGATTGACCCGATCCTGTACATGACAGAGTGGTTCATGTGCGCCTTCTCCAGAACGTTGCCCTGGGCCTCTGTCCTGCGCGTGTGGGACATGTTCTTCTGTGAGGGTGAGACAATACTGAAGGCCTCTTAAATATCATGTGCACATTGTCCACTGATATCTCGGCCCACCACAGAGGAAAAACAGTTTACGGCTCACTGGATTTGCACTTTCATTCTTGTGACATTTACTTTCATTGTGCAAATTAATGCCAAAGCATAATGTTTCACTTGATTACTTGTGGATATCAAGATGTCCTACTTGATGTGGGGGTTTCGTTTCAGTTTTATTTTCTTATTTCACTTTTTTCTGCCTATTTTTGCTTTGATTTTTGTTTGATTTTGTTCTGCCTATTTTTGCTTTGATTTTTGTTTGATTTTGTTCTGCCTATTTTTGCTGTAATTTTAGTTTGTTTGCTTTTGTTCTGCCTATTTTTGCTTTGATATTTGTTTTTTTGTTTTTTTTTCTGCCTATTTTGGTTTGATATTTGTTTGTTTGCTTTTGTTCTGCGTATTTTGCTTTGATTTTTGTTTGTTTGGTTTTTTCCTACCTATTTTTGCTTAGATTTATGTTTGTTTGGCTTTACTCTGGCTGTTTTTGCTTTGATTTTTGTTTGTTTGGGTTTGTTCTGCCTATTTTTGCTTTGATTTTTGTTTGGTTTTGTTTTACCTATTGTTGCTTAGATTTCTGTTTATTTGCTTTGCTCTGCCTGTTTTTGCTTTGATTTTTGTTTGTTTGGTTTTGTTCTGCCTATTGTTGCTTAGATTTCTGTTTGCTTGGTTTTGTTCTGCCTATTTTTGCTTAGATTTTTGTTTGTTTTGTTCTGCCTATTTTTGCTTAGATTTTTGTTTGTTTGATTTTGCTCTGCCTATTTTTGCTTAGATTATTGTTTGTTTGGTTTTGCTCTACCTATTTTTGTTTTGATTTTTGTTTGTTTGGTTTTGTTCTACCCATTGTTGCTTTGAGTTTTGTTTGGTTTTGTTGTTGCTTTTTTGTGTTTGTAATTTTTTTGTTTTGTTTGGGGGTGGTGATGTTTTTTGTTTGGTTTTGTTCCATTGTTGCTTATTTTTGTTGATTTTATTGTTTTCTGTGTGTTTGGGGTTTTTATTTGGGTCGGTTATGTTTTCTCAGTTTTGTTAATTTGATTTTGCTTTGACATTTATGTTTTGTTTGGTGTGCATGTGTGGTTGTTTTATTTTGTTTCTAATTTCTTGCTTTGTTGTTAGTTTTGTTTTGTCAGTTGTTCTTTTGAATTTCTATTTAATTTTTTTGTTTACTTTGTGTGTTTTCTTTGTTTACTACTTTTTATTAACATTAATGTGTTTATATACACTTAAATTACTATTCAGCACTGTTAATAGTGTTAATTTCTGTCTATTTACACACACAAACACACAATTCAAACAAACAAAATTAGTTCTGTGTAATAAAATGCATATCGAATGGCAAATAGTAAAGTTTTATTTTAAGTCAATTAAAAATGTTATCAAATCAAATTCCGAGAAAATCTTGTACACAAGTTTATTATTATTAAGATTTAAAAGTTTAAATATGTTATTTTCTTTGTTAGCTATTAGGAAACGTTCTAAAGGCTCTTTAATTGTTTGAAAAAACAACTCTACAGTATGAGTCTCCCGTACACTGTTGTAAAGTGCAAAAATTTTTAACCTGCATATACTAATACTTAGTTTAAAAGACATGTTTGTGTGTGATGCAGGAGTGAAGATCATCTTCCGTGTGGGTTTGGTGCTGTTGAAGTGCATGCTGGGATCTCCAGAGAAACTGAAGGCCTGTCAGGGCCAGTATGAGACCATGGAGCTCCTCCGATCTATTGAGCCACGATACATGCAGGAGGCATTTTTAGTTCAAGAGGTAAAGTACACATAGAGATTAAAATGATCACGATATTTCCTGATGGATGACACTGGCTGAATTACTTTAGTATAATAACACTGCAACAGCTTGCCAGTGCCTGCATTTCATAAACCTAGTATTAATTAATCATGATATACTGTGCAGTATGTAGACAGCAGTAGCATGTCGCCCCCTGCTGGTTTAAACTCTCTAGTGAAAATGATACTATTTAACGTCAATGAATATTGTGAATATTTTTAAATGTGAAGATTGCATGTTCTGCATGTCTGTGTAAAGTATGGTGGGGTTATATGTAATATATATAGGGTGCTAGTGGCTTTTTTACTTTTAATGTTTCCAGAGCTGCTCTTTGAATCATCATATCATAGATAGAAATAAACTCAGACTTTCACTACAAACTTTAGATTAATTAGAATGTACTTAAAGGGATATTTCACGCAAAAAAAGTTTATTTACTCACTTTCAAGTGGTTTTAAACCTCTGCAAGGTTTTTTTTTTCCACACAAAAAGAATATATTTAAAAAAAAAATTGAAACTTTAAACATTAAATTCCATAGTTGGAAAAAAAGATACAATGGAAGTCAATGGTTACAGGTTTTCAGCCTTTTTCGAAATATCTACTTCTGTGTTTACCGAATTTTCTGTTTCTCTTTCTTGTTATGTAGCTAAATTATAAATGTTACATTTTGTGCCTCCATGCAAGTACCAGTGTTTTTACGAATACATTTTGTTTAAATAATCAATCCAGAAAAAATATAGGTAGCTCAGATTACCAAAGATTTTTGGAAAAGTAAAACCCTTTGTTTTGTTTTGCATTAAAAATGTCTTATTTCAAGAGATTCAACTTGCTTTTTAATTATTAATATTGTATTAAACCAGTTAAACCATCCTAAATCACAGAAGTTGGAAGAAGTGAAATAGAAATTCTGAAAAAAATAAAACCGATTTCATAGGACCACTGTATTAATGTAAATTCTTAAAAGACACCTATTTTACAATTTTTACAAGATATACAAGAGATAAGGTTTTGGTGTCTCCAGAATGTGTCAAGTTTCAGTTCAAAATACTCATCAGATAATCTATTATAGCTTTCAGAATCTGACACCTTTGCTCTCTTGAGTTCAGTGTAGCTGTTTTTGTAGCCTGTGGCTTTAAATGCAAATTAATTTCTTCTCCCCGTTCACCGTTCCCACATGCGTCAGATAAACAGCCATCAGTGATAGAGACAGACCCCAGGAAAGCTGAAATAAAGCTAATTAGTCAATTAATTAATTATCAATTATTAATCAAATATACCAAGTAAGTATATTTGATGTATTTTTGGAGTTTATTCAAGCCTTTCTGAAATGATGTGTCTCATACAAATGCCATTTGCAGTAAACGTGTGCGCATTAACTGACACCATGTGGTTGTGGTGATTATAGCGATTAAGAATTACACTGCGATTTTACTGTCCTTATTACAAACATGCTTTGTTTTAAAGACGTTTTAAACTTATAAAACTTTTTTTTAAATCACAGAGAGTGTGAACAAATATTTTGATCTCAGTTTCTTTGCAAAAATGTTCTTTAGAAGTGTGTATACATGAAACATGGTGCCCGTTAGTCAATTTGGTGGGTGGGGTCAACCACAGTTCTACGTCACGTTGCGGTGAGTCTCAAAATCTCTAGGATATGGGTCTTATTTTTACATCAGGAAATTTGAAAAAAAGAGACTTGAGTTTCTATCACTCCAATATAACAGTGGACACACTAATGCCTAGTTCAGACTGCGTGATTTTAGCCCCGATTTTGGCTCGCTGACAGGTTTTGAGAAATCGCCGACAAATGCCTGAAATCACAGGCAAATCGCTGCTTATGCACGTGAGTGACAATCACACGGTATGAACTTTCAAAGACGCGATCTGAGAGAACCGCCGATGCCTGCGAGATATTTGGCGTGCTAAATATCTGGAGCTGTCGGCGATTCAAATCATGCCGTGTGAATTCAGCGATCGCCTACAGCCAATGAGAGAGCAGCTTTCACTTGTGTGTGTGCGTGTGTGTATACCTGCTGCAGGCCAGCGGGAGGCTGGGGGAGAAGTTAAAAGCGCTCTTTTTCGGTTTATTTGGACCCATGAAATGGAGAAAAAACTAGTGGAGGTTTGACAGGACTCAGGAGCAACTGTGTCTGTTTGACGTTTTATACAGAAAGAAATTAGTTTATTATCAATGTTGAGGAGAAATGGCTAATTCCCTTTAAACCCAGGTGAGCAAACATGTACATGTTCTACCCCATTGAAGGCTTCTTTCTCATTATGTAGTTAATAACAAAAGATATATACGTGTTTTTGGCTGTGAGACGTAGTTTGGACGTAGTTGTCGGCGATTCTTCCTATAGTAAAGTCATGCAATGTGAATGTCCCTGTCGCCGATCCATCTTGCAGTGTAAAAAAGCATCGACGAAACGCTAGCTCAGATAGTCATGCAGTGTGAAAACATCTGACACACGACTACTTTGAAAATCATGCAGTCTGAACTCGGCATTACACAGCTTACAAAAGTAGATTTTCATCAAAGGGTATCCTATAATCTGTACATGTTTAGTGACTGTAGTTAACAAATGCAACTTTATCATAAACTATAATTAATTGATTAATCATAAAGAAACTCTCTTTCCTCCGCAATCCTCAGGTGATTGATTTGCCGGTGTCTGAGCGAGACATCGAGAAGGAGCATCTCTCTCAGCTGCGCCGCTGGAAAGAGACTCACGGTGAGCTGCACTGTAAATCTCCACCCAGAATGCAAGGCGCCAAAGCCATCATGGCCGCTGAGCCACCCAGTCGAAAAGACCTCAAACAAAACCCCACCATCATTGTAGAGGCTGCCGAGAGCCAGACAGAGACTGGCAAAAAAGCCAAGAAGAGTAAAACTGAGAAGAGAAAAGAGACTCAGAGCTCCCTGCCACCCCTCAATCCATACCCGTTACCCAGCGACAACCATCTATCGCCCAGCGGAACACAGCCGCTGCAGAAACACGGACCCCTGCAGGCCTCAAACCAGAGCCTCAGCAGCGCAGAGCAAGACACATACCTGTAAAACACAGCTCACACACTATCACAAATCTCACCTTTTTCTTGCAATTTTGAGGTTTTTTTTAATCATGAGCTTAAAAATATAAAAATTCTGAGATAAAAACTCAGAATTACAAGAAATCAAGTCACAATTCTGAGGGGAATATAGTCAAAATGTGAAAATTTAAATCGAAATAGTGACAAATCAAGTCAGAATTGCAAGAAAAAAAAAAAGATTTTGGAAATATATCTTACGATTTCCATCCTGCCTCAGGATCTGCATCAGTGACACGACTGGACCAACACACACACCTTCATTAAGAATATTAATGAAGACGATGCTTTACAATTGTGAGGATTTCTGTGGTAAAACATATGAATTGCACTTCTGGGGTCCGTTCTTCGTACGTGGATTACTCAGTTAGCTGGATTTGGATATTGACGATTTGACACGATCCAGGATCATTTCGTTCTTCAAAGCTGATCCGAGAGTTGTTGTCATAGCAACAGTTCTGCTAGGTCAAACCTGATCGGGAGCAGGTTTAATTCATATAAACAGGATTAGATCGGCTCAGTTCAAGCAAAGATAATACAGAAAGTATGTTCCGAATTCTGATATTTTCTTACAGTAGTAGTTATATACATTTGGGAAAATGGTACATATTTTTTAACTATATATATATAAAGTTATAGTTATTAATAAAATAAATAAAGTTATACATATTAATAAAACGTATGCAATCTGCACCCTCGAAATGAAAGTACAAAGACTGCCACCTGCTAGTGCAAAGAGAAAACTTATTGATATGAACTTTTTAGATCGCTTTAGTACAAATTGTGTATAATAGGAATGCAATGTCACTTTTTTTAAAGCAATAACACATTTATGCAGTCATAAATATGTTTTGACAGTTAATATGCCAGTGTTTTGATGCTTCACAAAAGTTGCAAACGCCTTTACCAATATGAAAATGCTTTTGTAAACAACCAGTTATTCTTTACACCGATTAAAAAAACGGCTACAATAATAAAGAAAATCTTTTCTAAATGTAGAACTAAATACATTGATTTGCATTGAAATACATGATGATACACTTGACATATGAAAGTGTAAAGCCTGCAGCTCACAACAAATGTGGAAGGTTATTGCGTGTCATATTTAACAAGCCGTTTACTGCTAATTTGATGTAATTTTGCTCACATGGATAATTGAATATTAATCAGATGATGTCATTACGCTGCTGTGCCGTCAGCCAATCGTTGCGTTGCTGATCATGATTTCGAGGATCGATAGATCTGTCCTTCACAACACACGCAGCGATCTCAGATCAGTTTATCCAGACATTCTAATCTGATTTGCGAACTTGTTCGAAGAACCAAATTAGCCAGAGATCAGTTATCGAGATGAAAAGATCCAGGATCTGCAGAATCTTCTTAGATCATTTAAGCGAGGTACGAAGAACGGACCCCTGGTACAAGATTTAAGTTCTGACATTTAAAAAAATAATAATAATAAATCAAAAGAAGAGCATTTCTGCTCACCAAGGCTGCATTTGCTTGATCAAAAATACAGTACAAACTGTAATACGGTCTTAAATTATTATCATTTAAAAAATGATTGAATGGATTAAAATGTAATTTATTCCTCTGATTCAAAGCTGAATTTTCAGCACTGTTACTAGTCTTCAGCGTCCTTCAGAAATATGATATACTGATCTGCTGCTCAGGATACATTTTATTATCAGTGATGGAAACTGTTGGCCTACCTCATTATTTTGTGTAAACTGGGATACAGGACAGTAAATACAGTAAACCCATTTAAGCTTTTAATGTTATTAATCAAGGACACTCAAGTGTGAAAATAAATTATACATTTATAAATTTATAAAAAATGTATTAAAGCTATTATATTGAAGTTTTGGATACTCAATGCGCTATACACATTTTTTGGGGGGAATCTCCTCATCCACCACCAGTGTGCAGCATCCACCTGGATGTCATATTGCACCAGACTGCACACCACACACCAGCTCACTGGTGGAAAGAAGACAGAGTGATAAACCCAATTATGATATGGGGATGGTTGGGAGGCCATGATAGACAGAGGCCAGAGGGCAAATTTGGCCATCTGGCTATTCTGGCAAATGCCAGAAGGGTCCGACTATATTTTAAATGTGGGACGGTATGCTATTTTTTAAATAACATTTTTTTCATTTGTATTGTTTTTACATCCAGGCAGCTTTTATCTCTTGCCAGATGTGGATGTTATAATGATGATGATCATCATAGTTATAATAATAATAAATGTTAAGCATTGGCCCAATCGGCAATAGCCAACTGGTTTCAAGATGGGCCAACCCAATCAGAGGTTACGTGGATGCAATCAAAATTAGGCAAAAATGTCAAACAATCAGTAAGTGCAACACAAGCCGAAAAGCTCAGAGAAAGCCAAAAATTGCTCAATGGTTCAAACCTCGGCTAGGTCAGTTGGTGTTTCTGTGTGGAGTTTGCATGTTCGCGTGGGTTTCCATCCGGTTTCCCTCACAAGTCCAAACACATGTACTATAGGTGAATTGGGTAGGCCTAATTGTCCGTAGTGCATGTATGTGAATGTGCTTGTATAGAGGTTTCCCAATGATGGGTTGCAGCTTAAAGGACATCCGCTGCGTAAAATGTGGTACTGCTTACATTATTTCACCATCTGTACAACAATATAAGTGGTGAATGTGCGGGTCCGTGGATGGGGCTGTGTCGGAGTGGTAATGTTGGCTGGTGTGGTTACAGTGCCAGGGCTGATTTTTAGTCCCAGTCCGCCCCTGTTGGCCAGGATGCCGGGATAAACTCCTACTTTTTTTTTTCCAAAGGAAATCCTGGGATTTTTAAAGTCCACAGAGAGTCAGGATCTCGGTTTAACGTCTCATCTGAAAGACAGTACTCACTGAGCAGTAGAGTATGGAACCAGATTAGTCTCAAAAGAAATTCACGCAAAAGACACGATGTACACATGCGTAGCCAAATTCACATGCATAAAACCAAATTCACGTGCGTAAAATATTTATTTATATTCACAAAAAATTTTCCTGTGCACAAAATAAAAATACATTTTCATAAAATAAGTTTCACAAATGCAAAACACCATTTGCAAATGTATGAGTGTACAAAAAGTTTTGAATGTTTAAAACTTGTGAGTTCATCCTGAATGAGAATGTGCAAATCCTCTTTCACGTACGACTCCCCCTGGATACGTGTGTGTGTGTGTTTTTGAGACTTTCCTGCCAGAGTCAGGACTACTCGTACCTTTCAGCCAATCAGATGAGAGCTGTATTCAATGAAACCAACTCTGCGCCTCTTTTGCGCAGACTGTTCCTCTCCAGCATGGCGAACGGAGAAAACAGCAGTCGCACTTTTTTTTACATTTATTTATTTATTTGACCATATCCTCACTCGCAGAGACAATAAATGAGCAACATGTATCCTGCAGGGTAATGATAAGTATCATTCCGGCCACGCTAGCATTACAGCGCCATTGTGGTCCAGTGGTTAGCACATTGAGTTACCATGCCCTTAGACTCGTGATCGAGCCTCACCTACGATGCTATCTTTTTTTTTTTTTTCATTTTTATTGTTAAGACATATAAAACTGTAAGGTTGTTGAACATTTGAAGTTCTAAAGCAGCTGTTTTCTTGAAAAAGACGTGATAGTGTCATTAGAAACTGAAAAAAAAAATAAAGATCCTCACCTGAGTAAATATCTTTTTTTCAGTTTCATTCAGTTTCTAATGACACTATCACGTCTTTTTCAAGAAAACAGCTGCTTGAATTATTTTTGAGTCTAATCTGTCTCCATAGTAGAGTCCCCATCAACATACTGAGGACCCACACAGAGAGACCACAGGTTGAGTGCCCCCTGCTGGTCGCTCACATCACTTCCGTCAACAACTAAGCTTTTCCATGTGGTTTCCATTTCAGGTACTGACCAGGCACAGACCTGCTTATGCTGAGTTCAGACTGCATGATTTTTTCAAAGTAGTCGTGTCACAGATGTTTTCACACTGCATGACTATCCGGGCTAGCGTTTTGTCGCTGCTTTGTTTACACTGCAAGATGGATCGGTGACAGAGGGTTTCACACCGCATGACTTTAAAATGAGTAGAATCGTTGACAACTTTGTTCGGTTTGTTTCTCAACCAAGCACACGCAAGAAGTGACATGGAAACAACGTGAGGTCATGTAGTTTCTCTTCTGTTATTAACTACATAATGAGAAAGAAGCCTCTAGTGGGGTAGAAAATGTATGTATTTTGCTCACCTGGAATTTGAAGGGAGTTAACAATTTCTTCTCAACTTTTTTGTTTCAACCTGGTTGTGATATTGCTCAGATGACACCTCAAACTCTAGTTTTTCCTTCATTTGTTGGGTCCAAATAGATTAGAAATAAGCTTTTTAAACTTCTCCTCAACCTCCAGATTGCTTGCAGGAGGTTGGCCCACACTATTAGATGCTGCTCTCTCATTGGCTGTAGGTGAACTCGGCATTAGCTTCAGTGGGCAACCATGTGAGAGTTGAAGAGAGATAGCTGCAAAGAATCCTAAGTATAATATCACTTACTACAAAACTATGGAGATTTAAGGATGTTTTCAACGTTGATGATAATAAAACAATTGTTGTTAATGATTGATTACCAATAATTATCAGCAGATCAGCAAATTAGCTTTTTTATATACTGATGTCACACTGAAAACTGAAGTAATGCTAAATATTTAGCTTTGAGTCGCAGGGGGAAAAATGTAATTTCGACCTCATTTAATACGAAAACCAATTTAAATTGTAATATTTTAGAGATTTGACTCTATTTTAATCAAATAAATGCAGCCGTTTAAAAAAAAAATTGGTTTGAGCGGTGTATATGCAATGTTTGGAACTATCATGAAGAAAGATCTCCAGATGAAGTGTTTGTGAGCTGCGCTGGATGCAGATATTCTCCTAATGTTGATTCCTGCTATAGAGAATACAGAGGACATGTTGTAAACGGATGCAAATGCATTTCCTTCATCTTCCTCAGGAGACTACATGTGTCTGACTTTGTACTTTCCTAACACAGTGCAATCTCAAAAGCTGGATTTTGTTTATTTTTTATTTTTTTCATCAGTGGAACCAAAAAGCTGAATTTCTGAACCTTCGCACTGCACTTTTTGTATAGTGATACTTCTATCAAGCTCCTAAAAAATTTCCAACGCATTTCTGACACCTTGAAGCCTATTTCTGGCAAAGGGCAAACAAAAAATGTAAATGTAAGTTTTTAAATCTCAATTGCAAGTTTACATCTCAAAATAACTTTTCTTAAAATTTCAAATTTAGATCTCAAAGTTGCAAGATATAATAGTCTACATTAGCTATATGAGGGGAAGAAGTCAGAACCGTGAGATATAAACTCATTGTTGAGAGACATAAATCACAATTCTGAGGAAAAAGTCTGAAGAAAAAAGATGTAAACTGGAAAATGTA